AGCTCTGTGGGGGATGTTTGCATTATCGTGGGCATGGATTGGTTGAGTAAGTTTGGAGCAGTCATTGACTGCGAGAGACAGCTGGTGATGATTCGAGACCCTAGTGGGGGAGTGCTCACGGTTTATGGCGAAGGGACCCGGTGTGGGTCGGCGTTTTGTTCAGTGGCCAGGGCAAGGCAGAGTTTGCAGCAGGGCTGTGATGGATTCATAGCCTATGTGATGGATACTCGTGTGACCGCGGAGAGGCCCATTTCGATTGATGACGTTCCGGTTGTATGCGAGTTTGCGGATGTGTTCCCCGAGGAGTTACCAGGTGTGCCTCCGGAGAGGCAAGTGCATTTTCGTATCGATTTGGTTCCGGGAGAGGCGCCCATCGCCAAGGCACCTTACCGTCTCGCTCCACCGGAAATGCAGGAATTATCCTCGCAGCTTTAGGAGCAGTTGGGGAAGGGATTCATTCGACCGAGTAGTTCGCCTTGGGGAGCGCCGATTTTGTTCGTCAAGAAGAAGGATGGCTCACATCGGATGTGTATCGATTATCGGGAATTGAGAAAGTTGACGGTTAAGAACCGATACCCGTTACCTAGGATCGACAACCTGTTCGATCAGTTACAGGGGGCATCTTGGTTTTCCAAGATTGACTTGAGGTCGGGATATCATTAGATGAGGGTTCGCGAGGAGGATATCCAAAAGACTGCCTTCAGGACTCGTTATGGACATTATGAGTTTGTGGTGATGCCTTTTGGGCTCACCAATGCCCCGGCCACATTCATCGATCTCATGAACCGGGTGTGCCGACCGATGCTGGATCGGTCGGTGATCGTATTCATCGATGATATTTTAGTGTATTCGAGGACTAGGGACCAGCATGAGGAACATTTGCGGGAGATTCTTCGGGTTTTGAGATCGGAAAGACTGTATGCCAAGTTCTCCAAGTGTGATTTCTGGTTACGAGAGGTCCAGTTCCTCGGACATCTTGTGAACTAGAAGGGGATATTGGTCGACCCGGCCAAGATTGAGGCGGTGTTGAGGTGGGAGGTGCCGAGATCGCCCACCGAGATCAGGATTTTCTAGGTTTGGCTAGATATTACCGCAGATTTATCAAGGATTTCTCCAAGATCGCTATGCCACTTACTAGGATGACCCGGAAGGGTGTTGCGTTTTCGTGGGGACCGGAGCAGCAGTCTTCATTCGAAACGCTTCGTCAGAAATTGTGCGAGGCTCCAGTGCTTGCACTCCCGGAAGGGATGGAGGATTTTGTGGTATACTGCAATGCCTCTATATCAGGTTTGGGAGCGGTACTTATGCAGAGGGGTCATGTGATAGCATACGCTTCGAGGCAGTTGAAGCCTCATGAGTCAAGATATCCCACGCACGACCTGGAATTGGGGGCGGTGGTGTTTGCCCTCAAGATCTGGCGACACTATTTGTACGGGGTTCAGTGTACGATTTACACGGACCATAAGAGCTTGAAATACTTGATGGATCAGCCAAATCTGAATATGCGACAGAGGAGGTGGTTGGATGTGGTGAAGGATTACGATTGTGAGATCCTGTACCATCCGGGCAAGGCTAATGTGATAGCCGACGCATTGAGCCGTAGGGCGGATAGCGCCCCGATCCGAGATATTTGTATGAGGTTGACGGTTTTGACCCCGATTCTGGATATTATCCGAGGGGCTCAGGTGGAGGCTACGAAGCCGGAGCATCAGAAGAAGGAACGGGTTGAAGGTCAGGTATCAGGATTTGTTACGGATGGTCGAGGGCTTATGACTTTTCAGGGGCGGATTTGGGTGCCGTTTGTGGGCGGTGCGCGCACTATTTTGAAGGAGGAAGCGCATCGATCGAAATTCTCGATTCATCCTGGTGCTACGAAAATGTATTTGGATCTCAAGAAGGAGTACTGGTGGCCATGTATGAAAAGGGATGTCGCTTGGTTCGTCAAGAGATGCTTGACTTGTCGGCAGGTCAAGGCCGAACACCAGCGACCGCACGGCAAGCTGCAACCGCTAGAGATTCCCGAATGGAAGTGGGAACAAATCTCTATGGATTTCATCACCAAGTTACCGCGAACTGCGAGAGGAGTCGATGCAATTTGGGTGATCGCGGATCGGCTGACAAAGAGCGCTCGTTTTCTTGCCATTAGCGAGAGCTCTTCTGCGGAGAAGTTGGCTGAGTTATATGTGAGGGAAGTAGTATCTCGGCACGGGGTGCCGATCTCGATTATTTCGGACCGTGATGTGCGTTTCACTTCCAGGTTCTGGAAGAAATTCCATGAAGAGTTAGGTACTAGGTTACATTTCAGTACGGCATATCATCCTCAGACAGACGGTCAGAGTGAGCGGACAATTCAGACACTCGAGGACATGCTTCGGGCATGTGTGTTGGACTTCGGAGGGAGCTGGGACACCTATCTACCTTTAGCAGAGTTCTCGTATAACAACAGCCATCATTCGAGCATTGGTATGCCACCCTTTGAGCTGTTGTATGGGCGGAGGTGTCGCACCCCCATCTGTTGGGGTGAGGTGGGACAGCAGGTTATGGGTAGCACGGAGATTGTGCTTCAGACGACCGAGCAAATTCAGATGGTCAGGCAAAGGTTGTTGACCGCTCAGAGCCGGCAGAAGAGTTATGCAGACAGGCGACGGTCCGAGCTTGAGTTCCAAGTGGGTGATCTCGTGCTCCTGAAGGTCTCTCCTTGGAAAGGAGTGATTCGGTTCAGGAAGAGGGGCAAGTTGGGGCCCCGATATATTGGTCCCTTCCGTGTGATCGCAAGGGTGGGTCAGGTAGCCTACCATTTAGACTTGCCAGCAGATTTGAGACAGATTCACGATACTTTCCATGTGTCGCAACTACGGAAATGTATAGCCGACGAATCAACGGTGGTTCCGTTAGGGGATAATCAGGTGGATGCAAGTCTGAATTATGCTGAAAGACCTGTAGCCATCAGAGATCGGAAAATCAAGGTTTTGAGAAACAAGGAGGTACCCCTGGTATTGGTTCAGTGGCAGCATCGTAAGGGATCAGAAATGACCTGGGAGCCGGAACGGGAGATGCGGGAGCAGCATCCGAAGCTTTTTTCCTAAGCGGGACTTCGAGGGAGAAGTCGTATTCTAGTGGGGGAGATTTGTAACAGCCCGGATCCCCAGGTATCTTCATTTCTTATATTTTGACATTCTGTGAGGGGACTCGGCGAGTTGGTGGTCGAACTCGCCGAGTCGGGTCGCGGTTTTTAGCGGGGGTTCGCGTCCGGACTCGGCGAGTCCAAGGGATGGACTCGGCGAGTCCGCACTGTTTAATGAAACCCTAATTTCCCAGTCCTAAGCCCTATTTAAAGGACCTTATGGCCCTCATTTGCGGCCACCTTGAACCCTAAGAGCCTCCATACGTCTGTAAGCCCTTGTGAGTGTGTTTGAAGGCCATTTGTTCATCATTTTGTGGGATTTTGCAAGGAAAGGAGGGAGAGGAGCAAGCTAGAAGTGTTGGGGAGCTTAGATCTGTTGCTATTTCATCAAGGGAGTCTTCTTGAGGTAATTTTCAAAGCCAAACTTCATGTTTTGTGTTGATGTGCCAAATCTAGGGTTTCTTCTTGCATTCCTTGGCTTGAATAAGAAGTATGAGAGGTCCCATGGGGATATGGGACCTAGATCTGGACTTTAGCAGGTCCAGGAGACCCCTTATGACAAGCTTTATGTCCATCCTTTTGAGTTAGAAGTTAAACTTGCCATATTAAAGGTTGTTTCTTCAAAATAAGCCATGTATGCATTGCATGGCAACCAAGACTGAGACTTTACGTAACAAATAAGCTTGGGAAGGCCAGATCTATGTATTTATGGAACGGATCTGACCGCAAAAGCCAGTTTTAGCTGGTGCATGGCATGGACTCGCCGAGTCTGAAGAACAGACTCGACGAGTCGCTTAAAGATTGTCCTTGAGACCATCCTGTGTGTAGACCGGACCGAGTTGTGGGCGACTCAGTGAGTTGCAGAGAGTTGGAAAGGTTTTGACAGGTGGACCGAGTCAGGTTGGGACTCGCCGAGTTAACCTTCGACTCGGCGAGTTGAGTCGCAGTGCCCTGTGATTCAGGCCCAGGTGGAACTCGTCGAGTCGGTGGAGTACTCGACGAGTCAAAGGGAAAATTCTTGAGAGTTCGTAAAAACGCGTAGACTCGCCGAGTCACTATTGTGCAATCGCCGAGTCTGGTCCAAATTGACTAAAGACTGTTGACCAGGTCAACCTGTATTGACTTGATTTGGATGGTCCACCTTAGTGGTACAAGTAATAATTATAGATTTATAATATCATAGGAGGATTGCAGCTCGAGGGTTCGAGCCCGAGTGATTCCAGGATTCACGATTAGCGACTTAGCGAGGCATACGAGGTGAGTCTTCCCACTATACTATGCCCGGAAGGGTTTTGACTGTGTGACCGGAAGGTCGAATATGATATGAAATATATTCCTTATGCGTGTTAAGTTATTTTCTATATGTGTTATGTATGATATGTTTGATATGGGCCGGAAGGCGTGGTCATATGGACTGTAAGGGTTGACGTGGGTAGGACCGGAAGGTTTACCCAGTCGGGATGGAAGTCCCCTGAGACACATGGACCGGAAGGTCAAGGTCTGGAAAGGCGTATGTGTGTATGTTGTATTTTGGGAACTCACTAAGCTTTATGCTTACAATTGTTGCTTTATGTGTTTCAGGTACGAGTGAGGACCGTGGGAAGGCTCCAGCGTGACTGTACACACACTCGGGAAACTATTTTGTTATCTTTTGTTATGTAATCGGTTGTGACTACATTGTTACTATGGAAATCTAAACTTATTACTCATGTTTTGTTGGTTGTAAAAATGAAAATTTTTGGTTGGAAATTTTATGACGTTACATATATGCCATGGTTGCTGGGCTATACTATGATATTCCAGTGGAGTATTCTACTCAACTTTGGAAGGAATTCCAAAAGAGTGTTGAAAACACGAATGAAATGCAAGGCATTTCATGTGCAAGGTATTGGATTTTGATTTTGCAACACTTTTATGAGAAGGAAGGGATTTTGGTGAATGCTGAGGAGGAGAAGGCTGAATTCTGTACTTATCATTATCTGAAGAATATGACTGATGATGCAGACGAGTTTCCATTTGTTGCTCGTATTCCAGAAGCTATGTTGAGGCGTGTTGATCCTATGAATGTTGTTTTGGTGGTATATTTGAAAAACAATGATCCTACTGTTCAAACAAGATATTGTTGCCAAGGGAAGAAAAGAAGTCTAAACGTTCGAAGAAGAATGAATCGGGTTCTTCTGAAAAGCTTGTTTCTGAAACCACGACAACGAAGTCTTCAAAGAAGAAGCCTAGTGAAGTTAAAGTGGTAAATGAAGTATTTCTTGATGTGTCTATTCCGATTGAGCCTGATGTTAAAGATACTCATGAGAAAGTGGTTATTTCTTCAAAGACTAGTGTGTTTCGAAGAATAAAAATGAAGTCTAATCATCCACAAAAGTCTGCGAGTCTTAATGTGGTACGAAAGCCTCATGTTACTCATCAGGTTCTCATTATTCATGAAATATCGGCTCCTATTTCTCCATTGTCCAAGAAACAAATGGATGAAGATATGGCTAAATAGATTTCTAAAAGGGAAACAAAGAAGACAAGAAATCTTGTTATGACAATCGAATCCACAGAAGATGAAGATGAAAGAATTCCCGAAACACCTAAAGCAAATCTTAAAAAGGAAAGTTCAAATCCTGAGCAGACAATGGTCATACCAGCCGAAGATTCGTCTGCCAAGTCATCTCATGAGGAGGCACGAACTTCAGACATCAATGCAAACGTATCTCATACGGATGTAAATGTCAACATGGATGAAGGAGATTTGAAGACAGAACTCAAGGTAATGTTGATTCTATTGTTTCGTTACCTACACAAATCACACCAATTACTTCAACCATAGACTCACCCACCTTTGAAAATATTATCAATCAACCCTTTACTTCCATTTTCTCTTCTCAATCCACTGATCCATCCAAAACCAATTCCACTATTAAAGACTCAATTTTTATGGAAACTGATATTGAGAATGAGGGTTTTGGAGTAACCTTTTAGGAATTGGAGTTTGATAACGAAGAAGAAGACTTTCCAGATCATATGTTAATGAAAATGAAGCAGTTTAAGATTTTGAATACGAAGTTGAATTCCATAATTCAATCTCAAGCTGATCTGGGGGTGGTCCATCGGTTTCAAGTTTGGAAGTTGATACGATGTTAAAAATGTTCAAAGCGAAGGTAGTGAGTAAAGTCTCTGGGATGGTTATAGACTCGGAATCAAGAATTTTGGAGAAGGTTGATCATAATGATCAAAACAATGAGATCAGGGTGAATTCTCAAAATTCGAAAATTTTGGGAGAAGTTAAAGATTTGAAGAAACTGGCGAAGGATCGACATATTTTGTTCGTTCAAGATGTCAAGAAAGTTCGTGAAGATGTAAATTTGCAGATTCATGAGCTTCACGAAGATATGCAAAGAGATATTGTAAGTGTCCAACATGATTATGCATCTCTAAATCAAAAGATTGACATTATTTGTGATGCCGTTACAAGATTTGTCAAGTTGTACGAAAGCATGAATCCTCAACTCACTCAATTTTCTACAATGCAAAGTAAAAATTTTCTGGAAGTGATTAATTTATTGAAGGAGCTCAAAGAATTATTTGTCAAGCCAGTTTCGTCTTCTCTAATAGCTCCTGAATTTTTGTCTCAAAAATTCACACAATTTGAAGCTATTTTACACAAGCAACTAGCCTCTCTTTGAAGAATATCTAGTCTTTTCCAACAACAGATGCCCCACCTGTTTCCAAAGGGGTACAAGGGGGAGAAAGAAAGGTTGAAGATGCGAAGGCTGATGGTGACACTTCACATGCAGATGAAAAAGTTGTGGGAAAGGTGTTTTCTATGAAGATCCCAACAACAAAGCCAATAATATCATCTTCTGGGCCAGTTATTTCAACTTTGATCACTACAATGCCAATTTCAAGGCCTATTACAACAGGAGTTGTTATTGGTGAAGCTGTTGGTGGGAGCAATAAGAATCCAAAAGTGACAGATGAATCTTCAAATGATAAAGGAAAAACCATTGTTGTGGAAAAGTGAAAGGATGAAAAGAAAGCTGAAGTTAAAGCAGAACTTGAAAAACTAAGTTTGGTCCAAAGAATTATGACTCAGCGTTCAAGTGATCCTCCAGGTTTGGATAAAGGTGATCCATCCAAGCATTACAATTATGAAACAATCGAAGCCAAGGTTGCATATAATCATATGTGTTTGTTTGAAAAGAAACCGAAGTAGAGCTATGTTGTAACGAATACTGATGCAGGCCAGTTAGACTTTCCAGTGAATGAGATGATGTTTATCATGCCTCAATTCAAAGCAAAAGGAAATTTCAAAGTAAAGGATGAAGGTACTCACATAAAGATTCGATTTCATATTGTTCTTGCCAAATCTGCTGAGGAATTCTGGTCATTAGTGATGATTAAAAAGGTCACCAGTATAAAGAATGATGTGGTATTTGAAAACACAATCCAAAATATCAAATACGTTGTGGCCAGGGCAAAAGGAAATATTTGTGATTTCACAATTGCATATTTTCCAATAATTAACTTGTATGATCTTATACAAGTTGCATTTATTTTGAAAGATAAATCTTTTTCATATCTTCAAAATACTGAACCTGATTAATTCAAGCTTAGGGTTGCTCACATCAAGATTTTCATTGAGAATTATTACGAGTTCTTGGCACTAACTGATGTTAAATTAGAAACAGCTAAAGGTTTGGAAATAAAAGCTCCGATGGAACCTACGAAGACCTAAACTGATTTGAAGAAGTATGAAGATGGGGAGATCTACTTAAATCCTTTTGGGTTGGTCTTCGCAGGAAAAGACATAGCTGGAAAAGCAAAACGATTCTTGTTCCAGGGAAGCGAAGTGGACAGATATTCGACATCTCAATATACGAACTTAATTGTTCATATGAATCATTGCAAGAAGAACAATGAAGGAGATAAGAAGGAGCTCAAGAAGGTTATTTCATGGTACACGGAAATACGAAGGGTGATGTTGTATTCCATTCAGCTGCTCACAAATTAAGGAGTTCGACTATTACAAAGGGGGAGATTCTAAGAGTAAAAGTATGTTGTAATTAGTCGAAGTCTGTCAAATACCATTCGTATTTTTTATAATGTGTCTTACTAAGGTGCTTTTATATGAAGCTTAGTGTCAATGCCTTAGTATTTTTTGTACACTTTATGTATCCTATAAATAGGGACATTTACTAGAGTTAGAAGAGTTTTTTTAAAGAAACTTGTCTTTATACTCTATAAACATTTGAAAGCGTAATAGAGCTGAAAACAAGATCATATTTACATCCATTGTTCAAACTCGCATTCATACATACTCTGATTTGTTGATTACTCGATGCATTGATTCATCAACTTGTCCTCAAAGAATTCCACATCTATGGATTCCACAACAACACTTGATTCAGTATCTAATAATTGACAAGCCTTGCAATTGTGAGCATATTCGATAAATATACTCTAATTAGATCGCGTTCCAAATTTGGTTCAATTACAAATGGGAGTACGATAATAAGAAACATACCCCCACACTTTCAACACATGAAGCATGAACATGACCTTTCAGCCCAGTGAGTGTACTTCTTACCATCGAATTGGTCAAGTAGTTGGGATTTGTGTGTCCATTAGTCTATTAATGATAAACAATAAAAACCTTTAATATTGTTGAAAATCATATCAATAGACACGCAAAAAACCCAACAAATAATATTGAGAATTATATGTAGATTAACTGCGATAAATAAATCTAGTTATTATTAATGTAATTACCAATTTTCATCCAAAAATCAAATCAATCCTTCTCGATCAGATCAAGAAAGGAGTAGAAGTAGACTTTCTTGCTGTTATATGAAATTAAAACAAGAAAATATTATAAAATTGACATGTCGACGGTTGATCTTGATTGTGGAATCACTGCACAGATCGAACTCTTGTCCATAAAGGTCTTTACATTGCTTCTATTGGTTCTAAGCAACAGAGTAAAATCCTAGGATTTAATGTGGATTTACATAGTTTCCAACAACAATGGAAAAAGATAAATGCAAAGTGACTACTCAAAAAGTGGAAGAAATCGCAAAGAGAAAAAGAGAGAGATGTGTTAAGTTTCGAGCAGAAAATACGACTCCTAGAGAGTTGTAGTTATAGCTTTCGAAAAACCTAGAAGGCAGCAAAAAACCCTCATGGGCCAGCCCTTAGAAACCCTAGGGCAACACCTTGCACTCCAAGCAAACCATTTACCAGCCTTGCCTAATATTCTGAACGAACTTGATTTGTTTCGATTTAACCGATCTCGAAACTGCTAAAAATAAAATCTCCTCAACTCCCAGCGACCGACACGTCATGAGATGTGCCAAGTGTGCCTAAATTGTGTCATTTTGTGCACTCACGACGTCGGCTAGTACGAGGCTAGGCTAGGCGTGCCTGTGTGGGCATGGCCCATTCCATTGATCCATTAAAGCCTTTGAAGATCTATCATGGGAAAAGACTTATAAATCTCCACTAAGTTTCTTCCCCCACCAATTTGGGATAAAGGAAAATAACCAACTTGCTATTATACCTTCATAATTTCCAACAATCCCCCACCAAGTTGGAAAGTTTCCTTTCACTTAGACAGACGATTTGACTTGGGTGTCCTGAAGATTAAACCCTAGTTTAATGAGAAAAAACAAAAAGATACCAATTCAATGGTATCCTTATAGGCTTAAACCATGAACCTTGTGACCTCTTCGGTTTACCCCCACACATCACATGCAGTCTTTGTGTTCTCCCTGAACGCTAATATGGGCATGCGCTAAAACTCTTTTTCACAACCCTTTAGAAAATAAACCACTAATCTTCACTTGAGTGAACACCACCTCTAGATCATATACGCAAATTTTACATCATATTTGTTGCTTATATGTCTCTAAAACTTTGCTAAGAGTCATAACTCAACCTAGTTCTCAGCAATGACGTACTATCCTACCTCACATGGATATATCATTAATGATAGCACATTCTATCACTAATGACTTCGTTGTTACCCTTTAAACTTGAGGATTAGGAGTAATAAACCCTTGTGGTAGATGTAACCAAATCTCTTGTCAGAGGTTTGGTAAACAGATCTACCCAGTTCCTACTTGTCTTGACATAAACAACTATGATGGTACCGCTTTCAATTAGTTGTCTCATAAAATTGTGCCCCATACCTACATCTATTGACTTCCCATTATATACTGCATTATATATTTTTATACAGTATGGCCTCACTATCATAGTACATGGGTATTGAAGGCATTAGAATATCACATAGACGGGTATACATAAGTATATAACGATTCCACTGTACCACTTTGCATGCTGCTGCTAAGGCAATTAGCTCTGCTTCCATCATTGAATGAGTTATGCATTTCTGTTTCTTGCTCACCCAAGAATTAGCACCACCAGCTAGAGTATAAATCCAACCGCTTGCAGATTTCGAGTTATTGGTTTTATCTATCCAGCTAGCATCATAATACCCTTCTAGTATTCCATTTGATGATGAATACATCAACTCAAAAGTACATGTCCTTTTCAGGTATCCTAGTACTCTACCCACTACCTTCCAGTCCTCTGTCTCTAGATTAACAGTATACTGACTCAGTTTGCGTACAACGAATGCGATGTCATGTCAAGTGCAACGTGTAAGATACATCATGCTCCCAATTGCACTTGAATATTCGATTTGACCCACTCCTCTTCTAGAATTCATGTTTAGTTTCACACTTGAATTAAAAGGAGTTTTAAATTCTTTAATAATCAAATGTTGAAAATTTTTCAAAATTTTCTCTATGTAATGAGATTGACTAC